ATTATTCATAATGTGTCAGATGGTTGGATTGCCTGCTCGCGGCAAGACTTACATTGCACAGAAAGGTATGTTGCATAAAACTATTTTTAATATTATTATTATTACCAATCCCTCGTTTTCAATACAAAAGTAGAACGCGAGGAATGACCACATGAAACATCATTGCGCTCCCAAATTTCAATATGTATTCAAGTGTTTTTCTTTCGTTTGGACGCGATCTTTCTTCTCTTTCCCGTATTTGTCCTCTTGAACTTTATTAGTGTGTCGTTACCTACAATGGCTCAGCGTCACAACAAAGGTGTTCAACGTTGGTAATTACAGACGTAAATTGCATGGTGCCCACCAGGCGCATACTTTCTTTGATCCTGCCAACAAACAAGCGGAAAGCAAACGTCGTGAATGTGCCGCAGAGGCATTAAAAGATATGATTCGATGGTTCGAAGAAGAATCGGGTACAGTTGCTATCTTTGATGCCACCAATTCTACTCGTGAACGTCGAAGCTTTATCTTAGAACAATGTGCCGAACACGACATTCAGGTCATGTTTATTGAATCGGTGTGTCAGGACGAAGCTTTAATATTACAAAATATCATGGAAGTCAAATTATCCTCACCTGATTATAAGGATATGGATCCGGAAAAAGCAGCCGAGGATTTCCGTGCCAGGATCTCGCATTACGAACATCAGTACGAACCAATTACCGAGAAAGACGTCACCTATATAAAGTTAATCAACGTTGGTAGTCAAGTTGTACTTAATCTAATTCAAGGTTACATGCAGAGCAGAATTGTGTATTACCTGATGAACTTGCACATCTTGCCAAGAAGTATCTTCTTCACTAGGGTTAGTGTGATGATGATGGGTTCTTCATTTGACTTAGTATTATTCAGGTTTCTTATCCTGTATAAGTTTCACGATTATATTTATAATGTTTTGTGTTTATTGAATGGGGGTGGGAGAAAAAAATTTTTTTTACTGTTTCAGGATAATGAAGTATCTAGAATTTGTAATATTGTGAGCAGTTTTCTAACCTTATTGCCTTTATAATTTTTTATTCGATTGCGGACGTACCATTTTTGGGGAATAGCATGGTGAGAGTATGTTTAATCTAATGGGTAAGATTGGCGGTGATTCAGATTTGTCGCCACGAGGTCGACAATATGCTCAAGTTTTGCCGAAAGTGATCCAAGACCATCTAGGGGATCAGAAATTAACAGTTAGTATCACCCTTCTTTTCTGATTTCGATTTTAAATTCGCGCGAAATTTGCTGGTCATTATCATTAATTGTATGTTTGGCGCAAATCCATTCCTTGTCAGGTCTGGACTTCGACAATGAAACGTACAATACAAACAGCCGAAAATCTGCCCTATCCGAAATTGCAATGGAAGGCGCTAGATGAGTTAGATGCAGGTGTCTGTGATGGGATGACATATGAACAGATTGAGGTATTTTACTGCTTTTGCTGCTTTGTTTTGGTTTATTGAGAACAATTATTGTTCTTTGTTAAGAACAATCATCTATCTCTATATATGCTGTGTTCGCTTACGCGTGTGCGTTTATGTGCGACATTTAGCATGTGTGTTGATCAACGGCGACCAATTTATTCATTTTTCGGCCGATTTTTTTTATTCGTAGGCGGAATATCCGGAAGACTACGCCAATCGAGATGACGATAAATTTAATTATCGATATCGAGGTGGTGAGGTAATTGTTATTTTTGTTGCACATTTGAACGACATTGCTCAACTATGATAAATACAATAGATTAACTACAAGGAATTGTTAATTTTTTGTGTTTATTAAACAAAATACAGTCTTATCGCGATGTAGTATTCCGTCTGGAACCAGTAATAATGGAACTAGAACGACAGCAAAACATCCTAATAGTTGGACATCAGGCGATTCTTCGTTGCATTTACGGATATTTTCTTAATCTACCACAAGATGATCTGCCTTATATCAAAATACCACTTCACACGGTCATTCAATTAACACCAAAAGCTTACGGATGCGAGGAAGTTCGATATAAAGTTGAAGTCGATGCGGTCGACACTCACAGACCAAAGCCGCTCAAACCAAAGCAAGTTCCCAATTCAAATCCTACAATGCCAAATACCACGACAACGTCGGTGCTCAGCAATGCATTTGCTTCTTTAAATGCACCGATTCTAAAGAGGAAAAAGTTGGATGTGTAACGATGTGGGATTTGGGGATATTGTTTTTTTTTGATTTTTTTTTTAATTATTTATTGTTAATCTATTGATAGTATGTAGAAAATTGGAAGGATGCGCGCGCTTTTTTGATAATCGACGTCGAGCATTTTGAAGATTCAAAGAAGATAGCAGTAGTAATAGTATGTGTTGTTTTTGGTGTGGAGGGATGCGATAAATTGTTTTTCTTTTGTTCTTTTGTTTTCATCGCTATTATCTTGAAAAACTTGATTTTTTCGAGTGAAAATTACTATATTTATATAAAGATTACTATTTTTTTATTACACATACCCCAAAAATATATGAAAAAGATCGAGGTGGTGATGATGATAATGATGACAAGAATAGCGCTATCGTCATCATCATTTATTTATTAATTTATTTTCTTATTTATCACCATCATCACACCATCATCATCATCGTCATCATCATCATCATCATCATTCATCATCATTCATCATCATCATCATTCATCAATAATCACATCCAACCAGACGTCAAAAAAACAATAATTTAAGTATTATATATTTTATTTTTACATTTATTATATGTATGTTTGGTTGGGTCTGTGGAGTCTTGGTTTTGCCTTGGTGGGATCTGCTCTCAAATTAACAAAATTATAACAATAATTGGCAACAATATATATAAAAATTCCAAAAATATTAAAGAATTCCATTTCTAATTTATGTTTTTCGTGTCGCCGTATGTAGTCGTAATTTTTTTTAGAATGCATACATGGCATATGAGGTGGGGTTGGATGGAGACGATAATAAGATAACGATAATAATAATGTGTGGGTGTTAAAAGCAAACGTATGCAAGCACAGCATCCAAAAATTTTAAGATAGTCAAGTTTGGCAGGTAGTTTGTTGTTTGGTAGGATGTTGTGTATGTCAATGCTATGTGAGATATGAAGCGCCTTCTCTTTTTTTACATGTGAGCGGACAGAAACTCAAGTTTCTTTGTTCTACTTAATAAGCATCATTGATTAATTGGGCGAGAAAATCAAAGCGGGAATCAATCAATTGTATAGATCGATATGTACACAATAGAGTTGACGTTTTGATATACACAAGAAAACTCTAATTGTCGCCGATTGATTGTCGCCAGAATAAGAAGCAATTAAGATGTGTTCGCCACGGAATTATAAGAACACGCATTACCATTGTTCTTCGCGTGCGTGCGCGCAAATTTTTCTGAGATTATAGAAGAATAATGAGGGATATTTCAATTGGAATTGGAAAATCGTGATCGCAGGGATTATTTTTGAATTTTAATTTTGGTTCGATTCAGTAATTTATTTACTGTTACTCTTGTGAATGACATTGTTGACAGTATAATATAAATAAATAAGAATAATAAGAATGCACTATAATATGTGATAATTAATAGTAAGAAAAACGTGATCGTTAAATTCGCCTTTGGATGGTTCTTTTTTTACGCGCGCTCGCTTTGAACTTGTTTTATGGTTTTTGTGGGTTGTCTGAAACGCTAAGGTTATATGAGATGCAGAATATAGTAATGAAAGGTTATACGTAAGCTTGTTTCCTGTTTTCTTTTTGCGTAAAGAAGCAAGAAGTTTCATGCAAGAGAAATTGAAACTAATCCAGGACAAGCGAACAACGACGCGCGCAAAATCTGCAGCCATTGTTTGAACATCTAATTTTGGGGAACTTTGATTGGTTGCATTGAGGTTTGACGAATTTCTCATCAAACTTTAAAAAAAAAGATTTTGAATTTCATTTCCTACTCATTCATCCCATCTTCCATATATATTTCTAGCCATTGTGCGTGATAATAATCATTCATGAAATATGGTTAACGATACACAGTGAGGTGATGATTTATTTGGTTAGGTACCGGTGTTGTTTTGGTTGCATATATATTTATTTATAATGGATGAGGATGTTCCCTTTCTTTCTTCCTTGTCTCATTTATTCTTTTTTTCACACCTTGAATTATTTTTTTTTTTACTTTATTACTAAACAAACCATCACTCTATTCTCCACTACTCTATCCACTTCTACATTACATAACACAATATACTGCATCTAACAAAGCCGCAAACTATAATGTCTGGAAAAAAAATTCCCTCCATCCTATTGCTCACCTCTCCGACTTTTTCTTTTTTTCTTTGTTTTTTTTTATTTTCATTTAGTATAATAATATAAATTTATATGTACGCATACGTATAAAAAATATACTTTCAAAATAAAAATTACGTACATACATATACATAGATACGTTTTATGTGTACACATTATATAATATATATATATATATATATTATACGATACATATAGTCGGGTGTCCATCGTAGAGCTTCCATGACCGCCGTTCATCCTCGTCGCCGTCGTTGTTATCAACCTCGTTGTCGTCGTTGTTTCTTTTTTATTTTGATTTAATAATTTTAATATTAATTTATATTTGATTCTCTTTCCGTAGTCGTATAAATACCCGCACACTCAAAGTTTTTCCCGCCTTTAATTATAGATAGATTCTTGTCATTGAATAAACAAGAACGAGAGAGAGAAAAACAAATACATACATATAAAAATTACATACATACATATATAATTTTACCATTGTACTATTAAATAAAAAAAAAAGTTTTAGATGATTACGTTTATTTAATATCTAATAAAAGCCTTCAAAAAAAATCTTTACATGATTACGCTTATTTAATATCTAATAAAAGCCTTCAAAAAATACAATCGCAACGACCTTACATACTATACAACACTTTGCAATACACCTTAAACTCGATAACAAATAACACCACCACTTACACGCACGTGCCAAAAAATGTCACAACACCCCTCCTCTTTGGTGTCTCTTTCCCAGCCATACCACCCTTTTCTTGCAATGCCGACCTTTAACAACAGCATCTATACTACCAGCAACAACAGAATCCCACGCATATTTTCAACAACGCCGCGTCATTACTATGAATCAAGTGACCCAAAAGCTCACCACATTAGTTCTAAGTCTTATAATAGCAGCAATAACAACTACAACAATAACTATAGCAGCTTGTCTTTTCCCAACTATGCAAATAACTTGCACGCGTCTGACACTTCTATCAGTTTACCACCTATCGATATTGTTATTAACAAGAAGCTATCGTCGAGAAATTGGCCTGAAACTTTAGTTAGTGAGAATAATTCTCCTCCGATTCACGAGATTTCCTCGAATAGTAGCCGACGAAGCAGTAATTCGGGTAGTAGCATTGGATCGATTGGTTCAGATCCACCCGCTTTGATCAATATTTATCACAATAATCCACCATCACGTCATATTGATCGTGATACACAAATGCATCAGCAGTACAGCAGCTACAGCAGCAGCAATCATCACAGTAGTGTTAAAAGAATCAATGAAAAAAATCATAATAATCGTCGTTCTTTGTCTATTGACATGGACGAGGAATCCTCTCAACGAAATAAGAGGCTTAAAATTCATAATGAATATAGTGGCGATGAATACAATGAGGAATATGATGATGATGATGATGATGATGATGATGGCAATGATGAAGAGGTGGAGGAGGAGGAGGAGGAGGAAGAAAATGATGGTCGTGATTCGTGAGTCTTTTTCTTTTCTTAATTTCCTAATTCTTGAATTTTATTCTATCTTGTATTCTTAATTTTTAAATCTCTTGAAAACAGCATGCGATCAACAACTTCAAACATTCATATTATGCCTCATCCAAAAGGTTATCAATCATCATCATCAGCAGCAATAAATCCTTCGTCAGCCACATCTAGTGGAAATAATGGTGGCGAAATTTCTAATCGTCACCCGGAAAATACTCCTCAACAAATATTAAGGCACAATAAAGGTTTGCGACATATTAGCAAACTAGTATGTGAAAAAGTAGAAAGAAAAGGAACAACAAACTATATTGAGGTTAGTCTTGTTGATTTTATGATTACAACAGTGTCACGACGAAAATCAAGTTGTTGATCCTTCAATAAATAAGCTTTGGCGCATTATTATTGACGTTTTTCGAGTGCATAATTTATAATGTGAATCTCAAGCAATTTATCTTTTTTTTTTACATAAGCATGTGCGGTGTACTTGTTTGTAGATTTGCAGTTTCCCATTACTAATCAACTTGACATCATTTTGTAATGCATTTATGCATTAGGTTGCAGATGAACTCGCTGAGGAATTTGCCTTACAATCCCAAGATAATAGTGTAAGTAATCTTGATTTGGTTTCTCAGGATAACTCTAACATGCATGCCTTATTGATGCATTCGCGTGGGTTCATTGTTACTTCGTATTACGCAAGATGATTAAATTTCTGCTTTACCTGCCCAAATAAATAGCACAAAGTTGACCAAAAAAATATTCGGCGCCGAGTATATGATGCACTAAACGTGCTTACGGCGATGAGCATTATAACAAAGGATAAGAAGGAAATTCAATGGATCGGATTCGGTGATTACAACATCACCCATGACAACAATGACCCTGATTACAGTAACACCCGTGTCAATAACGACAGAGATGATCCAAGTCCCTCTGTGACGAATAATAGCAGTGCCGAACAGGAAAGGGAGATTGAAGAATTGGAGGTATGGTTGTGACTGGTTATTTCAAGTTTTTGTTTATTTAGATTAGATCAACCGTTTTGTTTTTATTTATGCATATTTTTTGTTATTGTTATTTTTTTTATGCTATATACTCATATATTTTAATAATCTAATTTTTTATACATAAATTTGGTGGCTGATGATTGATGATTATAGCGTGAAATTGAGCTTGCAACACAAAAACGGAATAAAATCAAAATTGAGATACAAGCTAAAACTAACCATGTGAGTAGATTTGATTAAACTAATTTTCATAGTAACAATATTTATAAATTATTCTTCTAATTTAAAACTTGATGATGCATTTGTTTAACGTTGTAGCACATGTTTGTTAAGATGCTCGCAGAAAGAAAGATGCTCGCAGAAAGAAATGCGTCTCAACGCAATAATCCTCAGGTGAATAACGGAAAAATTTTTCTTCCGTTGATGATCATAAAGTGTCCACAGGACACAGAATGTGATATTGAAGTGTCACAAGATGAGTATGTATATAATTGTGATTTATGAATCTCTAATGTTTTTTAAGATACAAATGGCTGAATGCATAATCAACTTATCGGAGAATATTAAACAATAATTTTTTATATTAATGACGATAAATAATTAATAGTGACGCCTTGCACATACTTCGTTTCTCGCGTGAACCCGAAGTTATTCTAGATACAAGTGTTCTGCAGGCACTTGTTCCTGAAAACCAAAATGATGAAGTACCGACTTCGTGGGTTTCTTCGTGTTCGCATTCTCCAAATCCTCCTCACTACCACCAAAATCGACAACAACACCCAAATTCTCATTTTCTTATGAACATCCCGAGTAATAGTGATGATGGTAAAGATAACGAAGGCGAAAATAGTTATTATCGTCGAAATAGCAGCATTATAAGCAATAGTAGTCATAGTATTCAAAGTTTAGATCAACATCATTATCCTAATGAATTTTTCAATACATCAAGGAATGTCGAAAGTCACCAACTAAACAATGTTGTTGTCGGGCGTTAAAGGGAATGAATGTTGATTCCGCTGGAATGTCATGTTGCGATGGAAGTAAAGGTTTTCGGAGACCCACCTTATATATGTATTAATATCATCATCCTCATCATCTCCTTTCTGGGAAGTCTTGTCAGCGAAAAAGGAAGAATTAGTAAGTTTTTTTTTTTCTAATTCTAATACATCTGATCATCTGATTGCAATATTGTATGTGATACGTGATGAAACTTTAATTAATTATTATTCTATTGTTTTTATAGAGTTATATATAATTCAAATAATAAGACTAGTTAACATTTAATTATCTGCATCTCAAGGCGTAACCAACTCGCTTATTCATTAATTCGATGATTCAATTAATTCTTCATTCTGTCACTTATTTTTCTTTTCGAGAGATTGTTTCCACCAAATCGGAATCATCTTCAACATCATCATCATCATTAACAATAATTATAATTCATCGTCGTATGCACATACACATCATACACGCATACACAATCCTATTTCCCGCCATATCTCCATGTGACAAAAATTTATATATTATATATAACAATATTATTATACACCGTATCCCTTGTTTTTCCCGCCAACTTTTTTTTAATACATGCATTATTATTTTATTACTATTATTATTATTCTCCTCTTCTTATTATTATTATTATATTATTATTATTATTATTTATCATTTTTATCATTTAAAACTTGAAAACTCGAAAATTCCTTTTCCGTTTCTGTTTTGTCTGTGTTTGATGTCGCACGCACCTTATTATTATCAACATTATCAGTATCAAACCGTTCTCGGCATATTTTTATGCAAACTATGTCATTTGACGTAGCATTTTCTAACTGAGTTTATTTTTGATCTGACAAGTCGATTTTTCGTGTATATATACCCTATTGTTATTAAAAAAAATGTATTGTCGACAAAAATTTCAATATTTGTGTTTTGGTCGAGATTATAAATTTTTGGTAGTTTTATTTTATTTTGTAGTCTGTTTGTTTGTTGTTATTATTATTCTATTATTATTATTCAATTCTCATGTATCATAAAAAAAAAATCTTGTTGCTATTTTGTCGGAGCTTTTAAATCCTTAACAATAAAATGATAAAGTTTTCTTTTACGTAAAAACCAATTAGTAACGATCGAAAAAAAACCTCAGATATTACAAAATCGAGGCACGCATAAATTGTTACGCTATTAATTTATTATGATCCCGCTTGACTTTTTACTTTCGTTTAACGGTTTCGCTAAATTTGGAGAACAGGTTCTCAAAAGGCAGCACACATACATGATTGTAGTGTACATACATAAGATATCAACAACTATCACACACGGTCGCTACCCACTTAAATATATGCAGCGAAATTATTATATTATTAAATCGCACTTAATCTTTAATTCTCGTTTCTCCCAAAATTTCTCTTGTGATCAATAATTTTGCCGCCATTTTCTAAATGTTGATACGGAAAAATTTCCCATTTTATCGTTATTTGGTAAGACAAGATTTTTGGCGGCATCAGTTACATCAATGCTGAAGATCTCATCTCGCATTTCCTGAATCAGCAGGCCATGATTGCCCGCCAAAATTTCCTTCATATTCGGCACATTACTTAATCGACTACTGCAAAAGTTTAAGCAGTTTTTCACATCAGCCATTACAAGTTTTGTTCTTGCTATTGTCCTGATGATGATGTTCTCGCACATCAATCAATGTCTCACAAGAAACTCTCAAACGTGTTAGCTTTGTGTTCTGAAACCTTGATTTTCTCCCTTTTTTTTAGGTGATGATCCGAGCGGGAGAAATTCAAGTATTGTCAGATTTGGTATGTTGCCATATCACATTTTTGAAGAATAATCAACCGATCAATCGATGGCGTTTTTTATATACTATTTAGAATAGCATATTATGATTCATATGATTCGAGTTTTTTTATAAGGTAAGAAAATCGTTACGAGTTTGCTATTTTTGCACGATTGATTGATGATACGTATCCTTACACAAACAAAACAATAACATATGAAGAGACTTCAGGAAATTTAAAGTTTATAATAGAATACCAAATTTGTCATAATAATAATTATTGTTTAACCCATTGTTCTCACATTTATTGTTCTTTTGGGTGGGGATATTGTTTCCTTTTAGATGATGGTGCCGTCCTAGTAATCAATTCATACTCTCTCTTCCCTCATTGCATATGTATGTACCACATCGAGTTGCTTGACACACAATTGTTACTCTTGTTGTATTACTGCTTGTTTATTTTTTTCCGCAACGTTAGAAAATAAAGGGTTTTTTCGGTTTTGTTTAGTTTTGTTTAGTATCTATGTTGTATGATATCAATTTACGAACATTCTTGTTAGCTTTACTTATTTGTTTACTGGTCTTATGCAGGGAAATGCGAAAAACTACATTATGAATACAATGGCAATCCCATCGTGCATTGATAACTCTCAACAATGCTAGAATTCTTAAGTAAATTTAATACACTTTATGTAAATATTGGTTGCGTGGTGTAATGGTTAGCACCCAAGACTCTGAATCTTGTGATCCGAGTTCGAATCTCGGCGCGACCTAGTATGCGGATATATTGCCATATTACAACAAGAACGTTTGATAGTGTAATTTTTTAAAAGTGGTAAACTATTGGCGGGAAAATTCATTATTTGAACATCAAACATATAATTACAGCATCTCACTCATACGAAAAAGACCCGGTCACGTGATTATGAGATAACCAATCCGCTTTCTTGTAGTTTCGGCTAGGGTTAGAATTTAGCCAATATTGAATAATCGATCAATTTTTTGCTGGGGATACTTTTAAATGTGCGCTGACGCGGATTTTTAAACTTCGATTATTAAATTCGTATAAAATAAATTAGAATTCAGATTCAAGCTTTAACTTAGTCGGCTTATTCAACATATAGAAATGTATATAATAATTTACTAATTTTTTTCTTTTAGTATCTCTTTTTTAAAAATAATATTTTATTATATTATTATTAAATATAAATCTTTTTAAATAATACAAAATAGTTTCTGAAAATTTTTTAATATGATTAAATAATATATTTAGATAATATATTAAAAAAATAATATTATACTTTATATTAATACTAATATTATTAAGTTTTTAAATAGTTTTAATATATATCTAATTTTTTGAATAAATATAAAATTACTATTAAATTTTTAATTAATATTTTTATTTAAAAATAGTTTTAAAATAAAAAAAATAACTAACTATTTAATTTTTTATTTTATTTCTAATATATATTATTATAATTATTATTCTAAAATTCTTTTTAATATATATAATTATTAATACTTCTTATTTAAATATTATTATTACTTATTCAAATATTATTAATTTTAATATTATTTATTTAAAAATAATCAATATTAGTAATACTTATTTAGAAATAATCTTATTAATAATACTTATTTAAAAATTACTAATATTAATATTACTTATTTAAAAATAATTAATATTAATAATATTTATCTAAAAATTAATTATATTAATACTATTTATTTAGAGAAACTTGATTTTTTTTAAAAAATTTTAATTATATTATTTAAAATTTATTAATACTTTATTATTTTTTAATAAATAATTTTATTTTTGATTTTAATAATAATATAATATTTTTCTTCTCAACTTCTTGAGTTTGTTATTTTTTATTAATAATAATTATAAAAAGTTTTTAATATAATAATATAAAAAATATATATTAATATAATAATAAAATATAATAATATAAAAAATTTATTAAATAATATTTCAATTATTATATAAAACTTTTAATTAGTATTATAATAATTAATTCTTTTCTAGAATTAAAAGATTAAATTTATTTTTTTAAATTAAAATACAGTCCCTAATGAAAAGAATAGTAGTGATTATTTTTATTTATATTTTAATAATGAAGCATCCAATATTTATAAAAATTTATAAATATATTCTTTAGAATATTATAAATAAGATTCTCTATTAGCACAAGATATTGTTATATCAAATATGATAAATTAGATATTTACATGAAATAACTTTGAAAAAAAAATTATTTAAAATTATTTCTAATAAATAATTTTGAATATATTTATAAGTTTAAAAAATTTTTTATTATATATTTATTTAATAAATATCAATTAAAAAAACTTTATTTTGATAAATTTTATAATAAATTATAATAAAAATCCACTTTTATTATATTTTACTATAATTTCTTATAAAAATTAGTAAAATAAAGTCTTTTTTAACTGGTATTTATTAAATAAATATGCAATGAAAAATTTTTTTAAACTTATAAATATATTTTTTATATCTTAAAATATATTTTTATAAAAATATTTTTAAAATTACTTAATAAAAATATTTTTAAATAATTTCTTTTTCAAAGTTATTTCATGTAAACACCTAATCCACTATATTTAATATAAAATTTCACAAAATTTTATTAAGTTAACATATCTTATGCTATTAAAGAATCTTATTCATAATATTTTAAAGAATATATTTATAAATTTTTTATGAGTTTTGAATACTTTATTATTAAAATATGTTCATTATCTTTCTTTTTACTAGAAACTATATTATTTAAATAATTTAATAAAAAAATAATAATTTTTTATTACTAATACTAATATAATATTTATTTTTTTATAAATAAAAATACTTATTAAAATTATTTAAAAAATATTAAAATATTAAAATTTAGAAATTATGTTAAATTATATACTAATAATTAATTATATTTTAATATTTAATAGATTTATTATATTAAAATTCAAAAAAATTATAATAATAAAATATATTATATATTAATATAGTCTAATACAAAAATGTAAATACATCAAAAAATAAAATTTTTAGTTATCTCTAATAAAAAATTTGTAAAATCTAATTAATAATTAAAATTTTTTTATATTAAATAAAGTAGATTTCAATCTATCTTTTTATATTATTTTTAATATTTTTTATACTTTAATTTA